GAACTCTGTAAACGTTTTCGATATCTGCCAGTTCAGTTTTCAGGGATTTATTCTATTTGTCAAATAAATGAGACGGATTACTGTAGGGGAACATTTTCTGAAGTTAAAAGGATTACTGTAGGGCGAAAATATTCGAAATTGAAAAGGATAACTGTAGGAGATATTTGATTACTGTATTAAACTGTATTAAATCCAATACATAATCTACAAATAATATGAGAAAATTTATTTTCTGCAGTATATTTAATGTGACCTCCGTCAAAGCATGAAGGAATGGATCCGAAATCCAGGATTCAGAGAAATAAGAGAAAATCAGTATTCAGTTTCCAACGTTCGAATTGCAGGATTTTGCAGGATCTTGCAGGAGCTTTTAGGTGTCTTCGGGGTGCAACAACTTCGAGGACATCTTCGAAATAGAATTAAAGGTGAGAAAAGTTTATCATTCAACAAATCAAAATGTAATGTTTTAGGGACCGCTTGGCCTTCAGGACGCACTGATTTCCAGGGCTTCGACGACATCATGGCAGTTTCCAGGATGGACCGGATTCCAATTCAGATGACAGGAGAAGCAAAATAGCACAGGTGAGGAAATGGGATTTTTTAGTTTATGGGGAAACTTTTCGAAAATTATAAAAACCATGTGAGCTTTTGGGAGTATTCTATTTTTAAAATGTTGAAAGGTCGGTTTTTTTTTTCAAAATTTAGAAAAGCGTTATTACTGTAGTGGAAAAAAAATTGAAAATCAGAAGAATACATGTAGGGGGAAAATACAACATTGAAAAGGATTCCTGAAATTTGAATAGATAATCTAAAAAACGTTTTTATAGTCAATTTGTGGCCTTCGTGAAAGTTTAACGAACCAGGGACAAAATCCAAGATTAACAAGAATAAGGAAAGATCAGTACTCAGTGTCCAACATTCAAGTTCAGGATCTTCTTGGTTTCCTGGCTGCATCAACTACGACGACTTCATGAACAGCTTCCAGAACGGTTTCCAAGTTTGGCAGGATTTCAATCGAAGATGATAGGAAGGTAGCGGAATAGAATTAAAGGTGAAAAAAGTTTCTCATTCAACAAATCAATTTGTAAAGTTTCAGGGATTTCTTGGCCTTCAGGATGCACACACTCCCAGGACCTCGAGGACATCATGACAGTTTCCAGGATCTTCCGGATACGAATTCAGACTACAAGAGAAGCGAAATAGCACAGGTGAGGAAATGGGAATTTTTTAGTAGATGTGGGATATTTTTGAAAATTAAAAAAAATCATGAGAGCTTTTTGGGAGTATTATATTTTTCAAGTGTTGAATGGCCGGTTTTTTTTTCACAATTTTAGAAAAAAATTTGTCTTAAAATTTTACTTGATTTTTCCTTTCAGTGCAACCTGAAAAAAACCAGGAGTTCTTGAAAAAGCTCATTTAAAAAAATGAGAAAAATCAAGTTAAAATTTCAAAATTTTCACATAATTTTTTTTGCGAATTCTAAAACTGGACACTCAACGCTTTCAAAAATAGAATAATGCCATCAAAAAATTTGGTGACACTTTTCAACTTTCATAGCACCAAGATTGATTTTTGATATTTTTCAGACTCCGGACATCCATGTACAATAGAATATGTCGTCGTGGCGAGTCATCGTGATGTCCAAACTTTGCAAACTTGATTTATATTTTGTGATGTCTTTTTTCTACACTTTTCTCGCGCGCCTTTTTCTTCTTCGCTGGTGTTCTTCCGTGATGTCTTTAGGGTTCAGAACAGAGTTGCACGAAAGTCCGTTGTCAGTTGTCCGGCTAATTTTCGGTTGTCCTATGCCGTCCGTTGAAAATCCGTCCATTCGTTTGTCCTTCCGTTTACCATTAACATTGAAATTGAAAATTTTGCCTCAGAAGTGGTGGATGAGCTCCTTTTCCACCTTTTTTGCATCGTTGTCATTTATGTTGGAAAAACTCGTTGATTTTTATAAATTTTGTCCGTTGTCCAAAAATAACAGTCCGCGCATATCTGGTTTAGAGTCTTTGTTGTTCTAGTGGTTGTGGTCCTTATGCCTGGAATTCGTTGTTTCTCTGACATTCATCAAGCCTTACGAGAATTCTGTCCTTCCGTGGTATTTATTTAACTGGTCAATACAATAACAAAATTGAATACAATAGCAAAATTTGAAAAATAAATGTATAAGTGAATGAGAAAAATAAATGAATCTAAAGTCTGGTATTTTCCTGGAGAAATATATAACAAGTAGTGATTTTCAAAAGTTTTAATTTTGGGAAAAATATTCAGAAAGTTTTAATATTTCTGTTATATTTGTTGAAAAAACACGTTGCTCAGGGCTGGGAAGAACAAACGCCGGCGGCGAAATTTCGGCGTTTCGCCGGTTAGCCGGCGACCGGCGGCGTTTTTATGCGCACTACGGTAGATAAAAAGTTGTGCAGTCTGCATTTTTTCGTTAACGCACATTTCTTTATTGTTTTTTTGGCTTAATTTTAATCGTTTTTTGCCAAAGTTGTCTCGTTTTATTTAAAAAAAAGGAAGATTTTACAAAGGATTATGTAGCGAAAGTGGTGAAAGGAGAGATAGAAGGTGTTCGATTTCAGAAAGTGAGTAAAAATAGAACGTTTCTCTGAAAAGAACAATTTTCAGGCTAATCTTGTCGTATCTGCAGAAACAGAAACACAGTAGGGACACTTGCCACTACTTTGAAAAACGTATACACTTCGAATCGACTGTCGCTGGAATCGAAATTTTTGGAAAATCTAATGTTAATCAAAGAGATGCAATAAATGATTTAGCTACATGTTTTTTTTCTCCAGTAACGGAACTCGTACTGTTTTATAAAAATGAAAAGGATAAGTGTAGGTGAAAAATATTGGAAAATGAAAACGATTACTGTAGGTTGAAAGATGCAAGAAGAAATACAATCTCCATGACTTCAAGAGCCTGGAACACAGTTTAACCTTGCCAAAACAGTAATTTCAGTGAACATAAATTTCTAACCTTTCAGGCGTTTTTTCAGGGAACTTCTAGCACATTGGACAATTCTAGAAAATGAGTATTTCCCACTGACGGGTGCTTTAATTAAGCATTCCTTCTAGTTTATCTCATAATAAAGTGTTTCTTATGGTGATTTTTATGTTGCTAAATGTCTGTTCCTTGTAGGTTTCAGGTGGAATTCAACTCTTTTTGTGCAAAACTCTGTGTGAAGGCATCCATTCTCCGGTGGAATTATTTAAAAAAAACAGATACGAAAGTACGGTAATCGTGGCAGGACTCTGTTAAAAATATTTTGCATGCGTCTGGTTGGTGTACTACGATAATGTTCGTTTTCGTCGGTAATGGGGTTATTCACGTAGCGAAAATATGTATTAAAATGCATTTCCGCGCCCTCGAAATTCAATGCATGAGCGTCGCGAAATGTATTTCAAAGCATTTCGC